AATTATATAATGGTTTTGAAACATTGTCAGTGTCAGTTGCAGGTGAATAGAGCAGCCTTGAGCAATATTATACACTGCTTATAGTCGGCTGAAAACCATTACCCTTCCTGTAACTAGCCATTATAAGTCTACTTACGGATTTTATTATCTTGACTACTTATAATGGATTAAAAGCGCTTAACGCACCTGTTCTGTTGACAAGGTGTACAGGATAGGATTCAAGGCCGAGTTGATCGGAAGGGCAAATACAGCGATCCAGACAGCGAGGTCTCCTTGCGCTTCGTAAGACTTCTCGATGATGGTCCTCATACCAATCACTATCACCGGCATCCAGCACACACAATCACTCAGGATGATGAAGAACACCCGCCTTGCAAGAGCCGTTTCCCTCCTAAAGTTTGCTCTTCTGGCCTGGATCTCTCTTTCAGTACCCTGACGGGCCAGTCGCCGGCTAGACAAGTAAGACTTGACTAGTATCATGAGATAAGCACCCATGATGAACAAGAAAAAAGCAAAATTCAAAGCGAGAAAGATAGCAACAGAATACTCCCAACCTGCCGGCTTATCAGAAGTAAGCTGCAAGGGCAGACATACCACACTTCTACCATAGTAACTATGGTACCTGAATGGGTCTTCAAAATACTGAATACCAAACATAGGCAAAAAGGCCATAAGGAAGCCAATTGCCCATATGATGATGCACAGGATATGTGTTGCCTTTGGTTTCAGAGAAGCACCTTGGTAAGGAAACACAATATTTTTAAGCCGATCAGCAGATATCAGTGTCATCATCATAACCGAAACCTCACTTGACAGAAGGGAGATCGCTCCAATTATTTGACAAGACAAACCAGACCTCCACTGGAAGTCATGCAAGTAATACTCTCCTCTCCACAACAGATCTTTAGTGCCAAGAGAGATCAGGTAAATACCCATCAAACCATCGGACACTGCTAAGTGGAGCAACATGATGGACTGAACCACGTTCTTTTCTTTAAAGATCACTCGCCAAGTGACAACAAACACTGCACCAACCAGAGAAAATACTCCTATCACCCAGATACTCTTCCTTGGGGCAGAATTCTTAAACATGCTCTCACAGTTGGCAAAGTCGTCGTTGTACGTGAAAGCACAGTCAGCGTCCTCCTTGTGCATATGACAACACATCAGATTTGTGTCGAGACTCCTACAATTGTAAAATATCATCCACTGAAGTTATTTCATTAAAACTTCACAGAACTTGCTTTTAAGCATATATCAGTAACTGATGGCTGGAGTTATCCATTGACTTATACAAAATATTTTTTTTAAGAATCCAAGTCTTCAATTCTTTTTGCAAAAACTTGAATTTCCCCAAAATGTTGTCTACTCAAAATGTGTAGCTTTGCTCAAAAACTAATAATTTGCGAATGAATTTTATCAAAATCTTACACTCGTTGTATATCCTTCAACATATCGAAAAAACCATATGGAATCTCTCTCATCTTGTTATACTGCATATACCTGGAAATTAAATTAGGAGATTAAAATGCAGTGATCAAAAGCCGCAAAACTCCACAACAAAAATTAATCTTTCAAATAGGCTCTCTTAATCCCACAATGTCAACGAAGTCTTTCATTTAACTAATTTATTCGTGTTTATTTCGTGATCAGGTTCCCTCTAATCGCGAAGCGTCTTTTCCTGTTTCTAAACCACCTACAACTTACAATTCCTCTATTCTTGTACGAAGGGCTAATGCTCAGGCGTCCGCTTTTGAGGCTATTCAGGGTGGCCAATTTACATCACCAACTCACTTGATAATAATTAAATATTGGATAAGATTGGTCATGATATTATCATAATGCTGAAGTCTGAGTTATCTGCCGAAGCCGGAGGCTGAGGCATTTAAAGCAGACACAGGGTTTTGCAGCCCATGATATCATGGGAAAAGCGAAATCATTATCTGTTTTAATGTACATTTTTAAAAACTCTGGGAAAGAAGACATTTCTCTCTGACTTTGCAAAAGTTTCAGGACGTTACACTGACGAGGGGCTTGGAAACTAGTCAGACTTTGAACTCCACATGATAACCCAATACCTGATGGATATATCGGTTATCATGTCAACTTCACACGCTTTTGTATATTGACTGTACGCTCTCAACCAATCAGAGTTTCGATGTAGAATGACACCAAATATCTTGAAATGCCCTGCGCCGACGCAGCACTAAAGTTTCTTTACAAACTTACTCCCACTCAGCAAATAATCAATCTGCTGTCAGGAAAGCATTTCCGGTGAGTTGCAGATAACGTAAGATGCTTTTACAATAAAAGCATCGATTTGAAGTGTTTTCATAATGTTTCAATTGTCAAATATTACACCTTAAGGTAGCAAGGTCCGTTTCACAACTTGGTCATCACTTGATTAATTATAACACTCACAGAATTTTTAACTGTTTAATTTCTTTGAAGTTGTCGATGGAGACATGAGTCATTTCGTTTTCAACAATTTCTCTAACAAAAAGAAAGTGAAACTTAATCATATAGAGTAACAGGGAAGGTAAAATATTTCGACATTGATGTGTAAATAATCATTTAAAGGTGAAATTAAATGCATTCAAATGTCATGATCGTTATAGGTTATTTCAAAGCTTATTACTCACTTGAAGAATTTCATAGTCTACTTACATAATCAAAAGCTCTTTTAAGCCTTTAAAAATTCCTTGTGGGAAGTATCTGAGTTTGTTCCCCGATAGATAGCTAGTGAAGAAAGGAAACAAATGAAATGAATGTTGGACATAATGGATTAAAGAACGGGGCATTTGTAATCGTTTTCATAGGAATCAAAGGGATCATGAGAATGCTCACTAACGTTTTGCAATATTATTACGAGAAATTTTTGGAGAAAGATAATTGATGGGCTGGGAATCAGGAGATTTCTTTTAAGGCGTATCGTCAGGCATGAATTGCAAAATTTCCAAGGATGTATAACAAAATAAACTTGGTACTGAAAAGCCACTCGCGTGATGTATCGTTAGCATCAAGAAAAAGGTCCTACATAGACCCTCATCATGACTTAAAATCAGAAATTCCAGGAAATGAAAGGATGTCTTAAAAACATGAAAAGGTGGATCGGAGTAGACATTATTCCGCTTGCAGTAATGAACAAATTCAGCAGTCAGGCCAAAATATGTTACCTGCACGATAATATATTTTTACTTTTGATAGATGCCTAGATTCAAAACTTGTGGAATACATAAATGTTAACGAACTACTCACAGGTCAAACAGCTTTACCAGTCCCCGAAACTGTTGAGGATGCAGCTCCTTTATCTCATTCTTTTCAATTTTTCTGTTGAATTGCAAATCACGGATATGTTCTTGGCCAGTTTTCTTTTAATTTAAACGTTGAATGTTATATCAGTGGTCGGTACTTAGAGTACCTTTTGAGTGAGTGTCCAAAAGCAAGAGCCGGAGTAATCACAATAACCAATCAAAGCAAAGGGAGGCTAAGGAACCAGTGTACATTAAAAGTACAAACAATTCAAGCACAAAGCCTCACGCGCCGGAAAATGCGAGTTATCAAGTGACGTTTGGATTTTTGTTTGGTGCCCGATTGGTTGATAGGGTGGCACAGGTTTTTAGATTGATCAGAGAGGGAATAAAGTAAAACGAGAGCAATCTTCGATTTATTTTGGCAATTTATTAAATCAACTGAATTAATCTGTCTTTGACCTCGATAGCTCCAGAATTATCGAATTCAAAAGCAATTTTTAGAAAGTCCCCCTAGACAACTACGTCTTCGTACTTTACATTGGGTATCTTTTGAGATGTGCTGCAAATGTTTTCGTTTTCTTTTTTTTATTTTTTAACACAAAAATTCATCATTCCATCAATCGATCAATCGACTATTAATTAACAAGAGAGGATAATCCTCCTTTACAATTATTCAGTCATTCAAACCATTTTTCACTACTCACATTGTCTTTAGCTTGGTTAGGTTAGCAAATACCGTTGGCGGTAAATCTCTTAGTTGGTTGTTTGATAAAAGCCTGCAACAGTTAAACACACACTACCTTTAACTGCAAAGCAGAACTGGTTTCCCGTAGATAATGATGGCAACCGATAAGATCCAAATAACGATATGCTTACATATCTGTGTAATATAAATATGCGTGTTTTGCATTCATTCAGTGAGACACGTTTTAATGAACAGTTTTAATTAGATCAATTCGAAGGACATTTGGAGTGATAACATTTAATGAAAACTCGATTTTAAGTTCAAAACTTCTATTTTTGTGTACGTGCGTTGAAATTCAGACAGAAACGCGGAAAGTTTTGCCGCTCGACAAATTTTAGAGAGAAAATTTCTTTTCTCGTCGTGCTTTTAATTTTCTTTTATTTGTTTTTCTTGTTGACTTACAGTTTTGTGATATTTGCCAGATTGCTGAAGATTTCTTGAGGGAGATCCTCGATTTCATTATTAGACAGATCCCTGAAAGTTTCAAGGTAAAATGCATTAGTCTTTCAAAAAAAAATAACGCCATCCGAAATGTAAATCCCACAAAAAGTGAAACAGTGGGAAAACACTCTGAATTCTTTCGCTGCGTTTCACGGGCACTTGTAGCATGCTATGTTGCTGTAACATTATAATTATGATGAAAGTGCACCAAGCTACTGTGGATAGTTTTCATGCTCTTTACTCAAGTAACACCAACTGATGGGAGGGAAATGATGTAGAGTAGTGCAACCCAATACTAATGAGGAACGCCCACTGGTCAGAACCCGAGACCAGTGAATTTCGACGCTATAAGCTTTCGGTAAACCTGCCTTTTATGATGTACAATCGTCTTAGGATTGCCATGTTGCAATTGATTGTGACATGGTCACTTGGCCTCTTTTATCATCTCTGATATAAGGAACAGAAAATTGATAAAGAGCCAACACTTTTATAAACACATTGTATTGTATTGACTAAACTCACAGGTCGTTCAGTTCAGTCAAATCTTTGAAAACTTGTTTGTGCGGCGTTTCAATTCTGTTGTCTTGCAGCCATCTGAATAAAAGTTGGAATGATGCGACAATCCTTTTTATTTAGTTAAATTTGTAATTGCATCGTCTAATTTGGGTGTGTTTCTAATACTTATATTAGTATTACATAATACTGATCAACATCTTGACCTTTTTTTAAGTTGATTTTTGATAGCTTTCGATAATTTTGAAGCTGGCAACCTCGTTTTCCTATGGTGTTTCGTTTGTGCAACACTGCTGTTATTAATTGATTTAGTGTTTGGAACAACCACCTTGCGCATTAACTCGCTCATTCATCCAATAACAATGCATATAAATGCAAATGAGCCTTTCTGACCTTCGCCACAAGTTCACTATCAATAGAAGTTTTGATCAAAAGTGGAGCCAGGATGGCTTATTTGCATAATTCAAATGAGTCAGAATCACGCCCGCCATTATGAAAGAAGCCTTCACCGTAGCGTATGGCCATCTTTAGCGATACGTTTTCATGCTTTCCCTCCTTACTCAAAAACACATAATTCTCCACCTTCATTGCAGAGGTTCCGCTTGTTTTAAAAAATAATTTTAGCTACTATTTTTTTTTGTATTGAAAGTTTCCTTTCCTAAACTCACAGGCGCGTCAATGCTGTTAAACCGTCAAACAAACCCTTCTGTATCTTTTCCAGGTTGTTGTTGTTGAGTTGTCTGTATGAGCAGAAGAGTTAAAAAAATGCTACAATTACTCTAATCTGAATCAGTTGAAATAAAATTATTTGAACCGATTGCCTGTCTAAAGCTTATAATTTAGGAATTAACAAGTACTCAGTGAACTCGAAAGTTGTTCTAGTTCAGTTCATTCGAATTCAATACCACCCTTGTTTAAATCTTACTGCATAACACATTTGGCTTGGCCTTTGGAGCACCTGATGGCTTCTTGTCTCTCCTAAGATTTAGTCATTCATCTTTTCAATCAGTCACTGATTGTGGGCGTTTGCAATCGGTTTATATGCTACGCAGATATTTAGGGTTCAAGGATCTGCTTGATGAAAATGGAATATGCATTATTTGCATTAAAATGTGTGTTGTGCCACTTGTCAATAGTTGATATAGAGGACCACTTTCACTTACAGCCACTTCAGCTTCACTGATTGGGAAAACAAATCGTCAGGGAACTTCTTGATCTTGTTACCTTCTAAAAACCTATGCGTGTTGAAAACTTTGTCTTACCATTAAATGGGGAGGTATTTAAATCCCGTTCTCTTTGACTGAGGCACTGGTCTAAGAAGGAACCAGCTTACGAGAACCAAGAACTCTTCCCTACATTTGCAAAAGGTTGCATACTAGCTACGCGCATTAAAATAAAACACGTTAATCAGAGGAAGGGGAGGGGGGGGGGGGGGGTTAGAAATGGGATTTACATAACGAGGAGCACCGACAATGAAACTGAAAGGATTCTTTAATGAGTATATTTACTTTTGTTACCTCTGTCCATCCACAAACAATCCCTTCTCATGGTTGACTTCGCCCTCTATAAGCTCGAGCACTGTCTTACGAGTTAAATATTTTTTTGTTTAATTTAATTTTTTTGTCTCATTTTAAGGTTTGACGCATAACCCTAGCAGGGAAAGGTTTCTATCTCAATATACTGTTGCAGGTTACTATTCTCTGATTGACGCAGCTAATTAAAAAGCTAGCTGCTTATAAATGTATCAAAACTTGTAGTGATAGATACTATCAATTACAATAAATAAGAATCGATGGTATCGAATATGAAGCTAAAAATGTGTTACTTACAGCTCAGTCAACTCGGTGTTTTTATTGAAGACTCCTGGCGGTAGCTCCTCTATCTGGTTGTTACCCAAGTCCCTATAAGAAGATTTTTTCTGGATTTGAATTTAAAGTCTTTTGTCTGGTGATCTGTTGCTGTTAAGCAATTTGATATATTCCTCTCTTGGATTTACATTTTCTATGTGCCGTTTCCTTGTCATAATCTTTACATGTTTATATAAAATAGTGATCTAAATAAGTGGATTAGCTTATCACATGATTTCGAGTGCAATTTGGGATTAATCAACACGAGTAAATGTTTCAAAGGCCAGCCAAAAATAAATGGGTCTCCAGGTTCCGTTTAAATTTGTTCAAACATCTTGAAGGAGTAATGGTCCTTAAATGCAAAGAGTGCCTTAGAGACTAAGCAGCTGCTCGGCCGCTTGCCTTCACGTTGCTGCCGGCGTGTTAGGGGTGTTTCTCCAGGAAGTTGCTTCGAACTTCTAAACTCTCTGTTGTGACACATCGAACGTTTGCTTACTTTCTCGGTTAGGTATAGCTTAATTGCAGTAACCAGTACACGAAGGCTGTCACGCTCGTAATCTTCCGCTTACTTCTTACGAACTGTCGCGGTTTTTATTTTCAGGGCCTAGTTTTGTACTCTTCAATACTTTTTTTTTTTTTGCTTCGTTGCGTGTTTTCATTCTTTCACTTTCTCCAGCATTTTTTTTTCTTGTGCTCCCGCGACTTTCCTGTCAATCAATTTAATCCCAACTTTCTTCCTTCAATCTCAACCAAAATTGCACGTAACGAATTTCAATTGCCACTTTATTATAGCTATTTTGGAATCACAGAATTCAGTCGCTCAAAGACAGGATTTTTATTCTGAAAAAATATCTTACTGATCCAGTTATGAGCTGGTTTGTAAAAAGTTGCAAAAGTTGTCTTTCATTTTCTTGTTACCAGAGTTGTCGAGCTCTTGCCCCAAGAGCTTGCCTTAAACTTTTAAAACCTCTCTCAAGAATAATTTCGCGTTTTTATTTTATCCCTGTTAGGTATCCGTCGACAGCAGTAATCATTACACGAAAGTTATCATTCTCGTAATCTCCTTCTGTCTTTCATATGAAATGTTGCGTCAAACTCCTCGAGAAGGCCGTTACTCTGGGGCTCCGGTTCATACTTTCGTATCTGTTTTTGGAAGCCAGACTTTTAGTCAGTTGTTTTCCCTTTTTTGGGGTATGTTTGCTTTTAGTTGCAAGAGTTGTCTTTCATTTTCTTCTAATTTTGTTGGTTTCTTAAACCAAGCCTTGAAATAGAATTGGTAGTTATTTTTTTTTATAAAATTTCCCAGAAGCTGGGAAAAAAAATGGTGCAATTTCGTAAATAAATCGCACCGATAAGAGCCAACCAGATTGCAAGGATAAAAGAGCACTTAACTCCCCGGGGACCAAAGATATGAAAAAAAAAAAAAAAAAAAAAAAGCTTGCTTGGAAAAATTTGAAGGAAAAGTTAAAATCCTGTCAAGTTAAAGAAGATCGATATACAAGCTTCCTGACTTACAGAATCTTTAGCTTCTCTAATGGAGTAAATAAATCAGCACGCAACTTCTTAATCTTGTTTTTGCTAAGCCATCTACAAAACAAGTGTTTATTAATTATCAGTTTAATAAATAATCACAGTTAAAGAACAAGATACGGCAACCTTAAGATATTATATCAGGAAAATTAGCGTTTTCATTCAAACTGATATAGCGTGAAGACGAAACGCTATAAACAGTTTATTACGGAAGCCGAAAAGGGACAATCTAAAAAATAATATTGTGCAAATCCGAAAAAATATTCAGAATCAATATCTCATAGACAAATCGCTTTTAAAAGTTTGTCAAATCGAAAAAGCAATTTCAAATCCTGGTTTAATTCATAAATCCACAAATAAATTTCACGAAAGTCGAAAGTAGTCTACAACCCAAGAATCTTTCCTTAGTCCAAAAATTTCGCAAATCGAGAAAAATGTTTTGTCACTAGACATTTGTGCTCGGCCGTGGGCACAAATAACATTAACACCATTAACTGAAAGAAGAAGTGAGGAGGGAGAAAAGGCTTTGCCAACCATGTCATTATCGCAGTACACTACAAGTAAAAGTGAAGAACGAAGAGGCTTTGGCAAGCCGCACAATGGATTGAAATGGAAAGGCAAAAACACAACAGCGGATTCAAAAAAGACTGTAGACAATAGGGTTGTGATAAAT